AAATTAAATTAAATGAAAGTAAAAATAAATTCAGTCAGTTGCCCTCGCTGCATCTCAAAAGCCACAAGTGGTTGGTGGCTACCATACCGGACAGCATGGATTATAGAAAGAACGATTTCATCGTCACAGAAAATTCTATTGGACAGTGCTGAGCTAGAAGGATCTAATTGTAAGCTTTCCATTCCGGCTAAGAGTCTGAAAATAGGAATACTTTAAAATGTTTTAAACCTCTCAAGTAGGATCTTTTAAAAACTTACCCCCATTATGGAGTTTTGTCACTACCAATTCCACATCTGCTAAAGAATGAATGCTGATAAGGTCACTACTGAAGTCTTTGCATTTCGTGTGTGCCGAATCCCAGGAATCACTTTCATTCACCAGCAGATAGCAAAATCCATTATGTGGCAGCCAGTCTGCATCACAGCGGGTATCTGAATATGGCCAAATATCTGGGAGAAAAGCAGCTATTTATATTCCAGTAAAGACACATCTATTTTGAATCAATAACATTACAAATTCTTCTTTCTTGAATCTTGAGGCTTCTGGAAAACCGGGGAATGTGATGTCAGATAGTACAGTGACATGAATTTGTGTGCCCAATGCCTACATAGCATCAACAGAGTGATTGTAGGGATTCAGATAACGATGGGCCTTGTGCGATGCAAATATATTACGTGGCTGGGCTCAGACTATTTCAGGAGGGATTGCCGTTAGGCCTCGTAGGCAGAAGAAAGGTGTGGGGTCAGCCAGTGGCCCACAAATCTCTTCCTTGGCATGGGATTTGTTCGGTTCCCCTCCAGTCTTGGTGGTGAGAGATGGTGAGGTCAAGTCTCCTTTTCATGGATAGTCAGCTTAGCAGGGGCTGCATTAATATTCACTGTTCAAACTAATCCTCCTTTGTTCAAAAGGACGGGCAAGGACTTAAGGAACAGAGTCAGAAATCCATACACTCCACACCAAGGAAGGGCATCAATGGGGCGGAGGTGGGGGGGTGGGGGAGAATGGGTGGCAGAGGGCATCTTTGGACTCCTCTCTCCTCCCCTCTGCTCGACTTCTAGCCCTCATGGAATTAGCAATTTTTCTTTTTGACCATGAGGCTTTTTCATGATAGTCAGCTTAGCAGGGGCTGCATTAATATTCACTGTTCAAACTAATCCTCCTTTGTTCAAAAGGACGGGCAAGGACTTAAGGAACAGAGTCAGAAATCCATACACTCCACACCAAGGAAGGGCATCAATGGGGCGGAGGTGGGGGGGTGGGGGAGAATGGGTGGCAGAGGGCATCTTTGGACTCCTCTCTCCTCCCCTCTGCTCGACTTCTAGCCCTCATGGAATTAGCAGTTTTTCTTTTTGACCATGAGGAAACTCACCCAAATGATGGTCAAAAAGATTAGAGAAAAAGAGTGGGGCAAAAAAACAAACACAAAAAAATACTCTACTCTTCTCAGCAGAACTAGAAAGTAGCTTGGTTCCTCAGACTTCACTGGTCAGGAATTGTTTGGAATGCTTGCTATACAAAACACAGCATTTAAAAAATATCAACAGTTTCTTTTTCATTAAAGGATAAAATTCAGGTTCAGCTAGCTTTTCTCACTTGCAAGATAATTAATTGTAAGGTTCTGAAACAGCACTCATTAATATTATATTTTATAATTATGATAAAGAAACAGAGAGAAAAAAATCACCCATAATTGAATAATCATTTTCCTATTCCAGTCTTTGTCTCTATGAATTCATATTATTATAAGATTAAAATGATAAGTAGGCATATCATTTTGTTCTGCTCTTTTTATTTTCCTGCTGGCAGAGTTATTTCAATAAATGCATATTTTTAACGTATCCATGTGGAAACATGATTTAGTTAATAATTACTACTTAAGAGAGTTATTTGATCTATCATTAGCCCCCCTGGTTTATTTTAATTTGTGCTGTCTTTTCTATTATGCCTTTGTTATATAAACTAAATTTGGTATGAATCAACTTGGAAGGTAAATGTTCATTTTTCCCTATCATTTTATTTTATTTTATTTTTTTAATATATATTTTATT